CACACTTAACTAGTAGTTCGAAAAGAAAGATTGAAAAGTTCAAAATTAATGATCATGCAAAATGAGACTCTCGTTTTCATCTAGTTATCCATAAAATAAAACTCTAATCCGAAAACANCGTCTTTTGGCGCTGAAGGTATTGGAGGATTGACACCGGGTGATCCCGATCCCTTCTTGATTGCCATTCGGGGTGGAAGTCTGAAGACTCCATTGGCGTTGGGGGAGTGGGCTTGTAGTGTTGTGTTGTGGGGGTTCATGTTTTTTGTTTTTCTAGTGCTTTTGGTTTTCGTGTTTTTGTGATTTTTCTCCCATTAGGGAGTTTTATTCTCCAGTTGTGGAGTTTGTTAGTTTTTTCTATTATTAGTGGGTGCACTTGTTCGAGTGTAGGTTCTAGGCGATCCTCTAGATCTGTCCTCCCACTAGATTCTGCTCTTGAGATGTCTTATCGACTTTTTGGTTGTTTTCTAGTTGTATTAATGTGTTTTTCTTCTATAAAGTTTATATGGTTCCTGTAAGAATTGGAGGTGAAACGGGTGCGGTCCAACGCAAATAAAGGGCACCATGACAGAGAAAGCCAGATTAAGCTCAAGTGAGTTTCTATCCCAAAATCAATTGGTGAAAGGAGGAGTAGCCAACTAGACTTATAAGTTAGGTCTATTTTCGATGTATAAACAATGTGGGACAACTCATAAGTGATATTCTAACAGTTCTGCCAAAAAAAATAAAAATAAAAAAGTCTTACGATTTAAAGGCTTGATATTGACTGAAATTTCCTAGATCCAGAATGTTTGACTGTCAAAATTAAATGCCTTTCTGGTGGAATATTCACATGAAATTTTAAGGGCAAATCACCTCGATGACATCTAGCAGGTGACGTAAAAAAAAATTCGATATGAGCACTTTGGCCGACGGCCGAGGTAGCGGTCGGCGGAGGTGAAGGAGGTAGCAGGAAATTTTTTCGGAATTTTTCGGTCAGAACTCTGTTTTCCACGGTCGATTTTTTACTTTTTGAACAGTTCCCACAGACGGCGCCAATACTAGCGAAATGGACTTCACCTGGCTCCTTCAACTCGGAAGTCCTCTGTACCTACACGAACTCAACGCCAAGAGGGGTCCCGGCTCCACCCTCCGATGCCTAAGTCAACACTAGCCAGAGATAAAGAGTGCAATATGAGAGTATAGTAATGAATGTAAGACAATGAGTTTTTGGGATACCTTAACCTCTTTTAGAGGGGAAGTGTACCTTATTGTTCAAGTTAGGCTTGGTCAATACCATTATGCCATGTGTCGTAGCCCATGTGTAGACTTATTCTCTAATAATAGTGAGTATCTCGTGCGATACATGGCGAGCTCTTAAAATCTTTGTTTAAAACTATATACAATATATTAGCTTGCTAACTATTTATATTAATAAATAATATTTTAACATCTATATTTATTTTTTGATATAGAAAAAATAATAATTGTAATTATTTTTGTTCATCATAATACTCACCTATTATGTAAAAAATATTAATTGTTGTATATTGTCATTACTATTA